CCCGAAGTAAATAATTGTAATCTACCAACAGGCCAAACAACCCACACGGAGATATCCACAGGACATAGTTCATGGAATTGGGATGTGCTAGCTATTCAACTCCCGTCAACATGGTAGGCGTACTTTGACCTTTTTTTTTTGTGAACATTATACTATTATATTATATATTTCATAATAGATGGTAGTATTCCACGACTGTCCCCCACCTAATTCCTTGTGCACTGCCAGCAATTCTACCATCTCCCTACTTTCGCTCACAAGTATTTTGTATTTTATTTTCGAGGCTTTGGAGGGCTCGGTGAACTGAGACACTAACCGAATGTCCATTACACGTTTAGCCTTGACATCGTCCATAATCCATATGGTCCGGTGCATAAATGTGTTCAACAGTTCAATATATTTTGTGTTTTAAACAATAAATTGTGTTGGTATATTCGACTTGTTTATTATATTTATATACATAATAATAGTAAAATAACATTTCAATCGTTTTGATCGTGTTTAATAAGATCCGCTTTTTTTTCTATACATCTACATCAAACGGACAAGGTAAGATAATATTATAATATATATATATATATATGTATACTATAAAATAATAATATACGTAATCAAACACACGAGTATGAAAATATCGGCGCTCTCGAATCTCAAAGCTAAATACATAATGTTGTGTGTGGTTGATTAATCTAGTTATCTAGATGACTTATATTATTATTATTTATTTATTTAATTAATATAATTACCATGCTACAATTTCACTTTAGGCCCATGGTCATTAGTGGTTATAGCTATGATTTATTATTAACGCTAATGATACAATGGATAGTAAAAAAAGTGAAATTTGGTTACCAATTATTTGCCATGTCTATCTATCGTGGCCATTATTAAAATTATTTTATTGTTTTTATCTTATTATAATTATTATTATCATCTGTATTACTAACTTTTATTACTCATTTTATAAATACATGCGAGTAAAATATTTATATCCATCATAATAGTCGATATAATTAACGTGTCATACTCTTACTTATATCATATATTGAGTCTATATGAGATCATATAACTTGGTCATATATTTTATCAAATGTATTGGCAGAGTTATAATGTTGAGTTAATTGTAGTCATTTAATCCGATTTTCAAATATATTACACGTTTATTATTATGATTGGAAAATAAAAATAAGACTTGCATATTGTTTTAAATAATTATAAGTTCATCGGCCACCGCTGTTGCTCCACATAGGGAAAAATCACTCATTTATTTACTAATAATTACTAATAACCAGAATTAAGGTCTTGCAGATTTATAAAACTCTATTATATGTAATAACTAATAAACATAATAAATAATTATTTCTCTGTCTAATTTTCTATCGCAATAAGTATAAATAATTTGTTTAAAAAAAAATTACAATTGTTATTCTACATAATATTATAATTGTTCTAATATTATGACCAATTTCTTTTGATAAAAAAAAGTAGTTTGTCACAAGTTCTTCGCGATCGTGGTTTTTAATTTCTTTTTTAAAGTTTTCAATTATTTGTATTTAGATGTTCGATATTGCCGATATTATACAAGAACTACTTTATTATTTTGTTAATTTCGTCGAGTAAATCATTAAATCAAAATTAATTCTAATTAGAACGTTAATTGTGCATCACCTAGTACCTATTATTTCTTTTACCTAACTATATAATATGTGCGGGACTTTTTAAACATGGACTTTTCGCTAGTCAATCGTTATTTGTATACATAATACCATTGATTATACATTAATCAATTAATTATTTGGTACTTTCCTGTTACACAAGACTACCCTGTTTTTTGACAACATCACAATCCTGTTGTATAAGACTAATAATTTAGTGGTGAATTTTTAAAACTGACTATATTCCCACCCCTTCATATATCAAATTAATATTAAGTCTCAAGTACTTTAGTATATTGTAGTAAGCAAGTTACTACGTGACAATAAATCATAAATCACGAGTGCATAGTCATTATAATATACAATAGATAGAGGTACAAGAAATGCGTGGGCTAGAATAATGACCACACAAATCACATCCGTGAGAACTAAGATACCGTATCTGTAGGCGAGGGGAACTTCATATAAAAGGGAGCCCGAATAGGCCTGTATTCAGACGTGTACTATACTCTTTTCAGAATAAGAACGCACCAGATTTGCGTAACAAAACCGGTTTTGTCCGTGGCCGCCTGGTTCCATCTTATTCTGAAAAGAGTATACCACCCATTAGTGCAAGCACCTTCACGCCACTCTGTACTACAATATTTGGACTTAGTAAAATTATTGAAGTGTAATAATAAAATTCACAATTATACAACAACTGTTTATATCATTTATTCATCAACCACGACTATATCATCCGAAGAAGTGTCTGCTACCTGCAACGTTAACGTACTGGTAGCCACTTGTCTATTAATATTACTACAATAGTAGGCACCGAGCGTACCAGCACGTTACAAGCATTTAGTGATAATATAGGATAATAAGTGATGTCATCTTGCTTTCTGAATTCCCTGGTTGTAGATTGTGAATAGTAATGGTATCCACTATGATTGTACCTACTATCAACAATTATGCTAAAACCCTATTGGATACATGACTTTTGGTTATAATATTCAAATATTGTGTAAGGAATGTTTTAACCGATTTTATCTTTTTATACTTTAGGTGGTACCTATTCACAAATTCTTAAAATAAGAAATGTACTAGTATTTACTATTTCTTATAACCAGATATTTATTGTGATGTTTATATGTTATTCAGTAATTTTTTTATAACTATAGATATGTGTTTCAACTTTCTACATAGGTAATTAATAAAAATCTGTAATAAACATATATTAAATTGTAATAAATTATTCTCTTAAATAAGCTATTAGGGATGGGCAAATTAAAATTTTTTACCTATTTCGATTCTAATGTATAGAATCAAAAAAAAAAGGTGTCTATTAAATTTGGAATTTTTAATTCATCCAGATTATAAAACAGATATTGATAAATTGCTAGATATTGATAACCGATCACAAAATTGATATATCGATTTCAAAATAGTTATAGGTAATTGAAGTAATGATTACTTAGTATCGATTCAGATTTCATTTGGAATAATAAGTAATTTATTACTTAACAATTTAACAATTTACATACATTTAATAGGTAGGTAATTGAAGTTTAATCGATTCCTCATTTTATTTCTACCCAAATTCCGAATTATATAGAAATATAGAATCGATTAAGATTTCTCTTTGGTTGAATTCATTTTTACTCACAAGATGGATGGTTTTGAAAAATCCATCCGACCCATCCCTATAGAATATGGACCATATACCTAGGGGTTTAAATAACAAAAATGTACAGAATTATCAATATTTTTTTTTTTTTATTAGACCACGAGGGTTAACTGTTTATAACGTAAATAAACATGAACCCCGTGCCAGAGTGAGAGCACTATACGAAAGAAATATATTTTCACACGTTTTGACACATAATTAAAATTCGAACATAACCTCTAAATACCACTTTTTTGATTAGTTTTTTACTCAATTTCGAACAACTGAACAACATGTAGCGTATCGTACTCTGAGTACTTTAAACTACTTTTACCGTGGGGAACTACCACCATGTTCCCGAGTTCCGACACACATTTCATAACATGTAGCTCCTAAATAAAAAATATGCCGACTCTCTCCGCCAAGGTTAAACAACCATTCGGCGTTATCAATTGACCAAGTTCTTATCAATAATTAAAAAATTTAGTTGTAAACATATTGACCTGTTGGCATTGTTGTCTTATTAATTCCTGATTGGCGCTGGCGTGGTGGCGTCACTTTTGTCTTCAATTACAAATTACCAAGGCGGCGTTGGATTCTATATAGTTGTATAATTGTTATATCTGTGAGTATGCCGTCATGGATTTTCAATATGTGAAGACATAAGTTACTTGAATTCTTTGTTTACAATTGTGAACAAGACGAGACGTCGTGTATTCGTGTACTCGCTATTATAGTATATAGTAACTATAAGTATACCGTATAAAGTGTATAAATTAAGCACTATAAACTTAATGGCGTAAACGGTAAACCGTTTGGGAGAATAAACTCAAAATGTAGGCTGTTTGGGCGATTGTTTATTCCACAAAAAAAAATAATACTATTTGAAAAATGATGTATGAATAGGTCTAATGTTTATTGGTAAATTAATTTATATATTGTATAGTTTTGCAAATTGCACATACCTTAGTCAATTGAAAAAATAAAACCACATGTATAATATACTTACATAATTAATAATGAACTTTAAAAAGAAATTGGTATAATAATACTGTAATACAGTAAATGTACAATCAACAATTCATAAAAAAAAAACACATAATATAACCTATTTAAATAATACTATTTTTTTTTATTGAGATAATAAGATTTATAATAAAACGTATTGTTATATAGTAATACTGTCCGTGTAGACGCATAATCAATATCACTTACAGCGAGTCACACACGTAAAAATAATTTTACTCGCCCAAACTGTATAAAATATGATGATAGCTTAAAGGGACAATGTGGGGGGAGCGTTAAAAGTAAAAAATTCTTAGTACTTTTTAAAATAAGTAAATAAATAACATTAATAACTCTTGTCTCCATAACAAACCTTGCATTTGAAGACAACAATTTTATATCATAGTTATATTATATGTAAGTATTATGTGTGTACTGTGTAATATAAATATTAATGTAATATTTTGTGCATGTAAATATTGTTTACATGTTAAAGTTCAATTAAATTATTCAATAATGATTAAGTTATATGGTTATTCAGTCATTTAGAGAATTATATTTGAATAATATAATTTTAAGGTACCTAAATGTAATTTAACTATTAAGACAAGAATCATTCAACATCTTCACAATTTTACTAGATTTGTATTTTATAAAAATTGATTCTGTTTATAAATAGCTTAAGATTATCTATGGATCCCAATCCACCAAGGCGTGGGAGAGGTCGGGCTCGTGGGGGAAATCCTCCTCCTCCTAATCAAATAGGACAACCACGAGGACCTCCTCCTAATCAAATGGGACAACCACGAGGACCTCCTCCTAACCAATTAGGACAACCACGTGCACCTCGACCAGCACAGGCACCACCAAGGCGGCCACAACCTAGAAATGTGCCAGGCCAATCTGGTCCACAAAGTGTAAGAAATACATTTTTAAATTCAAAATAATTTAAAAATATTTATCTATGTTATTTTATTGTATTAAGGTTGAACAAGTAACAAGTGGATTAGAAAACTTGAAAACAGGTATGGCTTACTGTATACATTATCTTAAAATATCTTAAATGTTTCACTAAAAAATAACATTTAATGAAGCCAACATTTTTGGTAACTTGAAGTTGAGGGGAGGATGTTGAGATATAAAGAACCATTTAAATAATTTACAAATAATGATTTTTTTACATATTTACACACACATTATTTTTACTAATGTTTAAAGTTAGTTAACAGCATTAACTATTATCAAATCATCATAATATTGTAGTGCTAAATAATTAATTAAATAGAGTAAGTTGTCTTTTTCCATTATTTTTCATGTATTTTCTTCAACCACACATCAACATTTTCAGTCTTCATCCAGGCTTTTTATTTGGATGATAATCTTATGCTAATGGTTTTACTTTTGAAAACATTGTATTTTTCTTCAACTTTCCAATCAGAAGGTATATAATATATTTTTTCTGCATCCATTATACGAGGAATGTCCAGAAGTTTACACACATTTTGTAGGCTTCAAAAAAATTACGTGGTTACATAAGTATATTTGTGTGCTATTTTTCCACGGAGTCGCCATCCCTTTTAATGCAGGTTGTGAAGCGGCACATACATTTTTTGGTGCTTGCCTCGTAGAACTCTGCCACATCCTCCTTTGTTGACCGCCTCTTCACTTCCTCATTTGTTCAACATTTTTTCCACACATGTGTTTCTTCAGGGAAGTGAACAAATGGTAATAATCAGAAGGAACCCGGTCAGGGTAATACGGGGGTTGGTTCAAAATACCAAAAGGAGCCCAACAGTTGCTTTGGCCGTGTGGGGTCTGGCATTGTCGTGCAGCAGGCAGACTGCTTATTAAACTGACCCTACCTTTTATTCTGCATAGCTCTTCTCAATTTTTTTAGGGTCTCACCTTGCTGCGTTGATGATGTCCCCTGAGGTAAATATTCAATCAATATGATGCATTTGTACAGTGTAGTCCATATAATAAAAATATATTCCCTACGGTCATAAGAGCCTTAGTACACTTACTTTCTGGACATGCCTCATATTTGCTCATAACTAAAGAAAAACTTTTTTGGACCTGATCAAGATTAGTTTTTTAAAATAAATTCTTTTAAAAATAACCATTTTAAAAAATTAACCTATTTTTCCACTTAAAAATTATCATCTGGTATAAATTAATAATTCACACCAAACTTTTATGTACATTACAGCATTCCTTTTGAAGTTTTGAAATATCAAACACATAACACCTGGTTTATTATCCAGTTAATACGATCATTAATTATGTAATTTTAATTGTCAAGAGTGTTCTGTATTTATTAAATTATTTCAAATGTTTCATAACAACTGTTCAAAATATATTGAATAATATATAATAATGTTGTCACACAGTCACTAACAAACTACAATGTGATGACACTGCTAAATCGACCAATGATTGGTCAGATATTTAATTTTTTATGTCACATCCCCTAGTGCATTATTCTAACATTTAAATAATAACTTAATTTTAATGAATGACTTATGTGGATTTATGCTTGACCCGAATATAATCTAATGTACAAAAATATACTCTGTCTAATATTAGAAGAAATGTCTAGTATCTAATTTTTGGTTAAATGTGTTGAATATGTAGTTCCCATGCACAGTATCTAATGTATTTCTTTTATTGAACAGAAGAAAATATATTATTTAATTTTGTCTGTAAAATTAGTAATCTATGAATTAATATATTGTCTTTCATCTTAGGAGATGCACTAACTCCAATTGGTCGAGGAGCAGTTCGTGGTCGCAAACCTATAGAAAATACGTACTATAGGATAGAGAGACCAGAATCGTCAAAATCTAGTGATGGAAAATTAGGTATAGTATAAGACAGTAAAATATTTAAGAACTTATTCTTAAGAGTTAAGAGTTATAAATATTAGTATATTTATATAAGTTCTTTACATTTAGTACTGTATACAACTGTATTAATTTTAGTATTAATAATAGTAAACAAAAGTTTGAAGTGAAATTTTAAAACGCACAAGACCTTTTACAAAATCTAATGTTTTGTTTTTATTATATTTTGTTTATAGGTAAAGGTGGACAAGAAATTCAGTTGACATCCAATTATTTTCCGATAACCACTTATACAGATTGGACTTTATACCAGTATCGAGTTGACTTTAACCCAGAACAAGATAAAGTAAACATTCAAAGAGGCCTATTAGGTCCACACAAAGCACTTTTAGGACCACACATATTTGATGGAACAATGTTGTTCAGTAGCAAAAAATATAAACCAGACGTAAGTTTCTTATAATTTTTTATATTAATTAATATTTTAAAAGTAATAAGAATTTTATTTTTATTTTTATTTTAGACTTTAGAGCTGACATCAAAACGAAATTTTGATGATGAAATAGTAATAATCACTATAAAATTTACTCAAACCATTGAGAAGGGTGATCATGCTTCCATCCAAATTTTTAATTTATTGATACGTAAAGCCTTAATGAACTTAGACCTGTCAATGGTTGGAAGAAATTATTATGACGATAAAGCCAAGGTAAATACTTATTATACTTTATTTATATATTAGGGATTCTAAGTTTTATATTGGTATTGCTACAATTTGGAACTATTTTTAGCTCATTCAAAATATTGAAAAACAAAATAATAGTAATTTATGATGATTAATAAACATTAATTAATGAGATATAAAAAACAGACCTCGTCTGAAATAATAATGCTACTTTTAGATGATGACCTGTGTTTTTAATTACATAATTGGAATGGAAACATAATAAATTTATAAAAATTTTGATATTGATATACCTACTAATATTTAATACTGAACAATTAGGTTTTCATTAATAATCTTTAAAAGTTAAATGAGCAGAGTAAAATACTGAGGAATGTATCATATTTTGTTGTTCATTACACGCTATTTATCTTTGATTAAAAGGGTTCCAGTCGGTTATTTTCATAGGAGTAGAATTAGGCAAATTATGAGGCAAGTACAACCGGGCCATGTCAATGTGTGCAAGTGTAAATAAACATAATTGTGTGTACGGACCGCCGTGTATATCAACCAGTATCCACATTCTAAGAACCAGCATTCTTGCACTAGTAGGCACATGTCAGTATATTAAATTAGGAAAAAGAATAAAGTTACTTTTCGAGTAAAAACATACCTTGGCTGTGACAAAATTGTAAGACTTAGGTTGGTGCGATTTTGATTCTGTAACAATTCTAACAATTATTAACACATCCTCTAAAGAACGGTCATAGAATTTTTTAGAAATATTAATTTCTTCAATACATATGGTTGAACAAAAATCTTGTAAATACTGCAATTTGTAAATATTGTAATGTTGTCAGAAGTTCAAATTTTAAAAAAAAGCTCCAAACGTTCTCTTGAGGAGATTTTAAGAAATGTTATTATTTTTACAGCATAAAATCAAACCATCCAAAGTTAAAATCTCTTCCCAGCTAAGGGTCTAAAATCCGACTGGAACCACCTTAAAATGTTAATTTATGAAAAAAAAAACAACTGAAAAACACCGTGTTTGTTTAAAAGGTTTGAAGACGTGTACACTGTACATACTTCATCATTGAGTAGTTACTGTAATCAATGTAAAATTGGAATTCAATGATATACCATTGTAAACATAAGCTGGTACTGAGAGATACAAAAAGGAACAAGATTAACAATTATTAAAAAAAAAACTAAAAAACAACAATAACAGATATTCAGTTTATTTAATATTTTATATTAATGATAAATAATGATTAGTGTGATCTTACTTTTAGAAAATATTCAAAAACCTAAGAGAAAAATGTATTTTATAGGTTATAACCTAATTATAAAAATTAAAAAAACCACTATTATTCAGTGGCTGATCAATCATTTTTTTTATGGTGGGTGCTATGTTGACAAAAAGCTCCGTAGGTACTTATAACGAATAACTTCAAGGTAACAATAAATGTAGCCTATTTTTTGGTAATATTCTACAATTAATACATTTAGTTGTACACCATACTGAATAAGTGATATCTAAGAAATTTAAAATATAAAAAAAAAAGTTCAATATGCGGATCTTCAGCTTCTATGCAACCCAATATTATAATCATAATTACAATTTATTATAATATTACTTGGTTTATGGCTATACTTGGTTTGATTAGAAATATGAACAGGTTAGTTATCAATTATCATAATAAGTTGGTTTTTTACTTGTGATTATATTTTTCACTTATAATTATTACATTTATACCAAAAAAATATATAATATGTGTTTACACTATTTTCGATGGGATTTTTTCTACGGTGTTTATTTTTTTGAGACTTTCCAAGATTCATAAATAAGTTGGCGAAACAGTAAAATTTCAAAAGTACAGTATGTGTGATCACAGATTATTAGCTTTATTATAGTTGCATTCAGTAAGTTGCACGGGATAAATTTACCCTACTGATTATAATGTCTTAATAATATTTTGGTTGATAGTTGTATTGGACTTTTATACTTTCATAAGCTACATATTTTTTTTTCATAAAATAAAGTATTAATTATTAAAATTTGGTATAATCTCTATTACACATATTTGCAAAATAATAAAATTTGTAATTACATTCAATAATTTAAAAAAAAAAACTAGATAAGTACACTAAAAATAATTTGTATTGGAACTTCAGTTATGCATTTGACATTTTGACGATATTGTTGTAGACTTAGAATAACCACGACCATTAAAAGTTCACAACATTACATTTAAAATTTTTCTCTAGGATTTGTAAAACATAAAACATTAAAACACACATTTAAAATTTGTGTATAATCAAATGTAACACAATAAGTAAATTGGTTGACTACATAATTATGGAGTACAGAAATAGATTATACAATGAGAATAAAAGCTATCCAGTGATAGAACCAGTACCTACTTATTTGAAATTTTTTCCATAACCCTTTATATTTACATTGTATTTTTTTTTGTTTGTTATAGATCAATATACCAAAACATAGGCTTCAACTTTGGCCTGGTTATGAGACTACTATTTCAATGTATGATAGTGGTTTATTATTACGGGCAGAAATTTCAACAAAAGTCATGAGGGAAGAGACTGTTTTAGATTTTTTAAGAGAATGTGCTGATAATAGAAACAGAGACCCTCAATGGATGGTCAGTAATATATATTATAATATAATATTTATATTTACTATCAAAATCTGATTTAGTTTATTTTAAGTTCGAAACATGTTAAGGTTTAACTTAATCAGTTAAACTCTTAAGGGATTGCAAATGGACAGTTTTTAAGGTGTTTTAATAATAGGATATTTCTAAAAATTGTATGTGTGCGGGTCTTGTAAATGGTGCGTAGTCATCATTATAGTGTGTGCTCATGTATATAAAAGTAATAGCGGAGTGCTCCCGCCCCCACACGTACAAGTCACAGCCTGGCGTCTCGGCGCTGCGCACGTGAACGGTAAACAATTTATTGTGAAGATCATTTGTATGAACTTTTTGTCCTTCCTACTGATTAACCTAATAATGCGATAATATTTCAGAAAACTGATCTGAATTTGTTATAAATTATAATGTCTGCTTGAGATCGATCAGTCCACATTTTAAGATTTCTGATTTAAAATTCCAAATAATCAACGTTTGAAAATTCTGAAATTTCAAAATATTCAAACTAAATTTATAGTTCTTGAAGGGGTTGAGGTGAAATTGGGAAAAAAGAGCAATCTCAAATACTCATAATAACAAATTCAGATCAGTAAGATAGCCAAAAGATTGGTATTTTTTGGCTTAAATAACAGTCCTCCACCGATCCCCTTAACAAATATTTAATTTTAGTTTTTTCTAGAGTAGGCATTGGGTGCGCAAAATACTATTTATACTCGTGACTTATGTTCTATATACCAAAACATTGTATTAGGTATATTAAATTAAAAAATTAAAAAAAAGAAATAGTAAATAATATGTCATTACTCATTGGTAATAGGAACGAATTTATATGTAATATAAATAAAAAACATGCGCATAAATATGGAAGCATATTTTATAAAATATGTGGGAAAAAACAATTTTTATTTCTGTACATTGTAAAAGTACAATGCTTATGGAAAAAATACAATAAAATAATTATAAAAATATCGAAATGATGTGTTGCATTGAATAATTATAATTTCTAATATTAGGTCTCAACATATTTTTAAAACGGCTAAACGATCGTTCCACATCAACCTATGTAATTGGACCATATTTGAGGCACGTAATGTCTGAAAGAGATAATTCCAAATTTTTAGAAATGTGTCTGCCAATCATTATTTCATTGATTGTTTTAAAATTAAGATTTTTTTCTGTAACAGCATGATTTTTCTGTTTTACAACATCTACTATTTGTCTGCTTACGAGGTTTAATTTTCCCATAACTGATTCGACAATTTGCATACTATCATTTATGGAATTATTTTTGTTTCTAATTTTGTAATTGTATGTGCAATAAAACTAAAATTCACTGAGATGAAAATTAAATTATTTTTCAATGTTTAATTTTGCATATTTTGAGATTTTCTAATAGCCATAGAAGTTTGTGGATCTAAATTTGAAATAAATTCTTGTATTTTTGAGAAGTGCTCAGAATAATATTGAGGAGCTACTAACCATGAGCCCCACCTAGTAATTATTGGCTCTTGTGGTAGAGCAAGAGTAGAGTACTTTCTTTAAAAATTGTGGTACAATTTTGAGCTTTAATATATAATATTCTTTTTTAGGTGAAATTTAAAATGGGGGTGATTGGTAGTACAGTGCTGACACGTTATAATAACCAAACTTACCGAATCGATGATGTCGACGATACTTCAAGTACCAAATCAACATTTAAGAAGAGAGATGGATCGAGCATATCTTACATCGACTATTATAGAGAAGTATGTAATTTATGAATTTGTATAGTTGAAGTATAGTTATATTATATATATAGTTATCTATGTTTAAGCTTCAAACTAAGACTGCAAGTAATTTTTTTAATTTTTAGAAACATAAAATAAACCTGAGCAATCATCAACAACCAATGTTGGTATCAAAGAAAAAAAAATCATTTCAAATTGAAGGTGAAGAATGTGAGCTAGTCTACTTAGTTCCTGAATTGTGTACTTTGACTGGATTAACTCAAAGGATGAGGTAATCAGATTTATAGGATTAAGTACCAATAAACAATTTACACAAAACAAACATTAAACTATGTTTTTGATGAACGAAATCAGTGGCGCTGAAGTTTTTAAAATGTGGTCGGGCAATTTTAAAACTTCTCGGCCTCAATATCTTAATTATTTAATATAGAGGTACCCTAATATAAATTTATTCATAATCACGGTTTAAATTTACTCATGCTTATAAGTTATAATAAAGTTATGATGTAAATTAAATATGGCCGGCCGGCCACATTTTTCAAAAAAGTGGTCGGGACACGGCCCAATGTCAGCATGGACTTCAGCGCCACTGCGCTGATGTCATCTGAAATACTTATGATAAATTTCTATAAACTAGTATACATACCAACCATCCCATCCCCAGGGTTCATTGTATCACAAATATACCATCCACGACCCCTCCCCCCTTAAATTATTCATGAGTTTTATACTTTTATGGTATTTGTCACATGCAAACCATAGGATCAGCACCACTAAACAATATAAGGCTTGCTTAGAAAAAACAAATATAATATTATTTCAATTTTTATTAAGACAACAGAAGAACTATCTCACCATCTCAGTTTAATTTTGGTTTTTATTGATCCCAATTTTAGATTCTGTGTAGAATTAAATGTATTGGTTAGGTTTTTAATGCCGTACTCTTTTTATGGTAGAAAAAACTTTGATTTTCAACTATGAGGGTGGTCTCTGGTAGGCAATTGGATCTAGTTAATAATTTTGATTGCAGGATTAAAAGTAATATTTCTCAGGACTTCAAGATTTGGAAAAATAAAAAATAGGGACAAACTCAAATTTTAACACATAAAAAATGTTGTTATTTTGTAGTAATTCACAAATCAATATTTAATATAATATTATATTATAATTAATATATTATATTTTAAATTTAATACAAAGTTAAATAGCTTTAGTTGTTATTCAAAAAATAATAATTGTAGATACTCAAAAAATTTCTAAAAAAGACTAATTTAATGCTAATTATAGTTATTTTTCTAGAAATGTTGATGCTCAAAAAGTATTAAAATGTAATATTACTTATGAGTTATATCATAGTGATGATTTAATATATGTTTGTACTTTCATCTAATATAATATTTTGTTTACTATTACAGAGATAATCGTAATCTCATGAATGATTTGGCGGTGTATACTAGGGTAGGTCCCACTGAAAGAATCAGCAAGTATAACAATTTTATAAATCGAGTTCTTACTACACCCAAGGTAAATATTTTTATTGAAATATTGATGAGCAAATAATATGTATTTTTTCTTTAATTTCTACTCGATATTTAAGTCTGCAGAAACTCTATCTCAATGGAATTTAACATTGAGTAATAAACTCGTTACATTTAATGGTCGTGTATTAACACAAGAAACACTGCAAGGAAGTCAAATCAAATATCCGGCTGGTAATACAGCTGATTGGACAAGTAGCTTACGTAATACAGCTATGTTCACTTGTGCTGAAATAAAACAGTGGGTAGTACTAGGCCCACAATCAAATGGTGGCCAAGTAAGGCTATTTATCAAGTCACTTTTAACAGTTGCAAGTAAAATGAAATTCAATTTACCTCCACCTGAAATGTTAGTATTGGTTATTTACTATTTAAAACATTTTATAACTTAACTCAATTACAAAATATACTATGTTTTAATTTTAATTTTAGAGTTGATTTAGATATTTCAAATATGAGACCGTATTTAACTACTTTGGATAGAGTAATAAATCAAATGAATCCGTCATTTATTTTATGCGTCATCAATCGTAATGACCACTACCATGTCATTAAAAGATTACTTTGTGTCGATCGAGCAGGTAACCAATTTCTAAGATTAAAACTATAGATTTTTTCATGCATTTTAATATGGGTTGGCTTCATGGACACTTAAATAATCGAGTTAGATTAGATTAGGTCGGCTTCGGGTCTTACCTCGGGTCTAATATCAGTCTATCACCCTGTCTACTATTAGTCATGGTTGGATTATGAGTGCTCAGTGATCACATTTAACCGCAATAAGTAGCTGTCACAAAACTACATTTTGGTTGGTTCTGTTGTCATAATGTAGTTGGGCGGGACTAGAGTTAACCCACCAAACACTGATTGTGGTCAGGCTCTAAGTACCATCAATCAACATATTTACCAAAGTAAAGAAAATTAGGGGGACGGAGAGGCCAAGCGGACTAAAGCGTCTGTTGTGGCGCACACCGAAGCCAGTTCAATACCTCGGCCATGGGCGACAGTTTTCTTCGGTCAAGTCACGGTGTCCGGAAATCAAGGGCCGCCATCCCCCACCCGGGCTTGGCAGATGGTATACGGACAAAAACCAAAAGAAAATAGAACTAACGGGAAAAAACCAAAGTGATAATATAATCAAAATTTTTTGAAACAAAAGGTTGAGTTAGGTATCTTAGTTGTAGTTCCCAGAATAACCGGACAATAAAGTGAACTTTTTTTTGTACATCTCCATGTACCCATAATATTGTATTCCGGCATATTTTAAAGTATACATATGACCTTTGTGACAAATCTTATCTGCACCCTTATTTGATTTAATAATTTCAATAATTTCCATATTTTACACTATTAAATCCAGAACTTTAAAAAAAAAAAACAATTTGCAAGACAAGAACACAATACAGTAAACTAGTAAAGTCACAGTCAGCACAATGATCAATAGTGTATTTTTATATGATCTTCATGTTCCCCCTATTTCAACTATAAACCTTGACAGGTTGACAGATTAACTTGTCAAACTTGTCTGATTATATAGTTGAGTTATTTTGATTTTTAAAACCAATATAGTATATGTAGAGGAAATTTCTCAAACTAAAATGTATGTAATAGCAAATTAAACTAATATTTTTATATACATAGTGATCGTAACTTATATTCTATCAATCATTTACTTATGCTCATTTGTATACATTTTTCTCAATAAAAATATAATTATAATTAATTGTATAATATTTGAATGTATGTTTAATCAACACATAATTTTTATAATATTGATAACACAGCATAAAGCACGGACTAAGGTATATCTTAGTCCGTGGCATAAAGATTGTATATTATATTTTGTGATATTGCTAATTCTCTGATTATATTAACACTTTGGTTTTTTTTTCCGTTGGTTTTTTTTCTTTTGGTTTTTTTTTCCGGGATTCTTGGCAAATACCTACAGGTGCCCAAAATCAAAAAATTCTGACGAAACAAAAACACACGGGTTCTTCCCCTTACCAACAAAAACAATAGCTAACAACCTTAGTTTACCGGGCTCAATCTCAATAAAAAAAAAATTATATTAAATTAATTTCAATTGGTAGAACAGTTTTCTACTCATTATTCATGTCATGGTACTTCCCTTATAACAGATTTAAAACATTAAGTTTGGTATTTTAGTGCATAAAATAGATTAAATTAACTTATAATATTTTCCCAAATAATCATAATTTTTTTTATTAAATTATATTATATGGTTAGGTTAAATTCTCAGAATAAAAATAAATAATATTCATCAAAACGGATTTTTTGTGCCCGATATTTTTGAATATTTTGTTCCTGGCGTTAAAGTATTGAATAACGGTAAACAAAAATAATTATATTTTGAGTTGATTCAGGTTCAGAGCCCTAGTTATTAAATGCAGATAATATGTAATTTAATAGTTATGTTTAATTCTAATATCATAATGATGTTAAGCTCAGTGCTCACTTGCTCACTGCTTCTGTTTAAACTCAATTCAAATACCTCAAAATATTTATTTTTTAGTGCCCTCTCAAGTAGTGTTGATGAAACAAATAGAAAAAAATAATATGTCAGTATGTACCAAAATTGCCATACAAATCAATTGTAAATTAGGTGGAGCACCATGGCGTGTTGTTATCCCTGAAAAAGTATGATTTTATTGTATATTTGCACTATATGCAAATTTAATATGTTAAGAGTAACTAATCATTCTATTATGTCTTTAATCAGAAAATGATGATTGTTGGATTCGATGTCTGCCATGACAAGCAAAATAAAAATAAATCATATGGTGCATTAGTAGCGACAATGAATGATAGCCACACTGCTTACTTCAGCTGTGTCCAACCACATGAGAGTGGTCAGGAAATTTCAAGCTATTTTGCAATGAGTATTGCTAGTATGTATATAATTATATTATTAATTTTAAAATTAAAAATTAAATAGAGAATATAGAATTTTAATATTTATGGTACCTGTCTATTGTGCAACCTACGCACACTTGTGAGATCTAGCATGCAACATTCAATATGAATTTGTCGTATATACTGATAATATCAATTACTTTTTAAGAAAATGCTTCATTTGCCTTCATTTTCATATATGCTAAGATCAGGGATTTTAATTATCTTACATTGTTTGATTGTATTTTTTCCACATATAAACAATTATAATTTACCTAATATTATTATTATTTATTTCTGTATACAGTAAAAAAATCTTCATTTATTGCCATGAGATTTTATTATAAGATAAACTTAATAAATTATATTTAGTTTACTCAAAATTTCTCAAATTGACCTAATTAGTTTCAAAAAATTTATTGAATGTTGTACCTGCTGTAAATGTTAATTGAAATTTGTTTTGATTTTAATGTTAAGAAACATGTCAACTGTAATTTATTTTTATTAAAATTAGCCAAATAAAATAAAATATTATCTGTCTATATCATTCATTTTAAAGTGCATAAAAAATATTTATTATTTTAATGCCCTACAATGTCGAAAAAAATAAATTAATAGATGCTCAAGCTCTGTATCACCCACATGCTCGGTGTCTACAGCTGCCTATGTGTAAATAAAAGTGTGTGGCACTCTAGTTGATCAATAAAAGCATAAATTAATTTAGGAAAATATAGTGCACTGTTGATGTTGTTGCCCCAATCGCTTTAATTTTTATGTAAACTATAACCCTTTTTAAAATTGAAGACACTCATTGCAGTAGAATATTTTTTACTTTCTATAAAAAAAAAGTAATTGTTTGATCTACAATAACTTATTAGTTATTAATGACTGATATATTATGAAGTTAATTTTAAAATGTATACCTATGTATTATTATTTGAATATTTTCTTTATTTTTTAGAGGCTTTAATTAAATTTAGATCCATAAATAAAGAACTCCCAAACAGCATAATTATATACAGAGATGGTGTGGGAGATGGACAGTTATCATCTGTCCATCGAACTGAAGTTGATATGGTAAAGGTTGGTATCTACATTAAAAAATAAGTTTCCGTGTACAATTATGCTAGTGATTAAATGTAATACAAATAATTTGGTTTATAGAAAACTTGTAAAGATTTATACGGGGAGAAGAAAATTGGAATTGCATTTATTATAGTTAAAAAACGAATCAGTACAAGATTTTTTTGTCGCACTCCTCAAAATTATCAAAATCCACCCCCTGGAACAGTGATTGATAATACTGTCACTGACCCTACTATGTAAGTATACAAATAAAATACATTTATAATTAATTTGCTTTAGTAAATTACTGATTTATGAACTGGCCATCCACTGTTCACAATGCTGTTTTAAATTTAATTTTTCATACCTACCTTTTTTTATTTAATTTTAATCACTTTAATGTAACCATATATATGGTTGTATTATAGTGATATTATAGTGATTAAAATTAAATTAAAAAAAGTTACACTAGATACTGATTTTTGATATTTCACGTTGACTTGTGTAAGACTGAAAGATCTTTAAGTTTTAACAGCATGTGTTGTTATATAGCTTAAATATTAGAATGAATTGTCTTATTATCAAATTTGAAGGTAACGACATTATCTGTATTTTCTACAATAATTAATGTTTAAATAAGTTATTAGAATGCGGGTATTTTCAAATTATTTTGTAGCTGAAATTTATACGATTTTCAATTAAATTTGCTTAAGCTTTAGAATGTAATACAAGTTCTTCATAAGTTGATCTTTAGTATTCTTTAGTATTCTAAAAATTTAAACAGAAAGTTATTTTTGTTCCTCTCACAATTTTAGTTAATTTGTATTTTGTTGTAATTCAAAAAATATTAATCACAAGGGAAAAGCACAAGGATTAAGTCTGATAAATACAGACTATCTACACAATATTATAATGTTGACGTTGTATATTAGGATGTAAGAACTTACTTACTTTCATACTGATACTACTGTCACATTGTACTGTGTACATTTTACTAATATAACTTTTAGACTGAAAAGGACACCATGGCCGTGTCTGTCTTATCAACACATAATATGGCAAATTGTACGTTCTGAATAATTCTTTTACCTACCTATGATCAAATTTAAATGTAAGATTACATTGGTTTATTTTTATATTTCAATTTTAATTCACTTTGAAATTGAAATATAAAAATAAACAACTTTGTCTAGATAATATTCTCACTTCTTAGTTCTAAATTTGATAACAAATAAATGATGCTCTATAATTAAACATAAAAGAGTTATAAAAACGAGGCAAGATGCACAAAATAAAAAAAAAAACAGGTCCATGACTCATAATATATATTTCTGTTAGGTACAGCAATTATAAATAATATGTATAGTCATTTTCTTTCTTTTTTATTTATAAATGGAATAACATTTTAATGCATTACAGGTACGATTTTTACCTGGTATCGCAGAATGTAACACAGGGTACAGTTACCCCAACGCACTACAATGTTATTGTAGATACTTTAAATGAAACTACTACTACCTGTTTCACACCCGGAATTCTGCAAAAAATTACCTTTAAACTGACACACATGTACTATAATTGGACGGTAAGTACTAAGTATTAATTGTTTAAAGATGAACATAAAATGAAACATGTATTTTTATAATTCTAATGGACAATTTTTTATAGGGCACAGTGAGAGTTCCTGCCCTATGTCAGCTGGCACACAAACTGGCATTTTTGACCGGACAGTCACTACAAAGTGCTCCAAATCCCGGTTTGGAGGATTTACTCTACTTTTTATAAGCATTTTCACTGAATATCGAATAATAATAACAACTCTTGCATTTTAGATTTAAATACACAATGTTTGTAATGTATTTTCATATTTTTCTTTAGACATTTTTTGAGTAAAGTATAGGTATATTATTGTAGAATCTTATCTGGACGGTAAAATTAAATTAAAATTGTAAACAAAAATTACTAAATTATTGAATTATAAAATTGAGATAGGTACTACAAAGTAACTGATGTTCTGGAACACAAAGATGTACAAAACCGTCTATATGTAAGCAACGACTGTGGTGGCCATTTTATTAAATTACTTATTAATTTATAACCATAATTATAAAGTACAACTAGTACAAGGTTTTTACTTTTATATATAATATAATATGTAGGGTTTTTTTCAAGAGTTGTTTGTTTGTATTTCTTTAAATAAATACAATTTTTCATATGAATTTATAATTTGCATTTGTTTTATATTTAACTAACCTGTAATTAAATTGTGTGGAATATTTTAAGGTAAATAGGAACAGAATGAAGATTTTATGTGACGTTGAAGTGTATTTTGAAGTAAGTTTGAGATATTTAGTGTTTTCAATAATCAGTGTTCACTTCTAAAAGATTTTCCATACCTAGCTCATTGTACACTATTGAGTATTTTAGTTTTAGAATGTTTAGTTAAGTTTTTCAACGAGAAATAAACAAAGAATAATATAAAAAAAAATAGGTAATAATAATAGGTACACATTTTTCAATAAAATAGTTCAGCAATAAGGTGGTCCTGGAGGGGCAATAACTTGAAAAGAAGTTGTATATTATAATAACAAGTCCTCAACTAGTACCCAAACTAGGTACTACTTTTGGAGTGCTCCGGTATGAAAAATTATTAGGGGGCCAAGTAAAATGACATTTGCAAAACAAATAATTATTTTTGTTACCTTAATAATATGTTATAGAGGTATTATAGTATAGTTAAATAGTCAAAATTACTTACCATTATTTTCTGTTGTAGAATGTTCTTCACAACAAACATAGGAACCTATTTAAAGATCCTATACATTTCTTATTTCTTTTTTCAAGTCTTTCTTCAGTTTTATTAACTTGAGATTTTCCTTTTGATGGAACCATTTTGACATTGTAATTTATAATAAAGATACATTACAGAAAATAGGTAGGTAATTAGATTAACTTAAAAAACCGATAAGTAGACAATTAATGTACGACGAACGAATGAAAATATTGATAACCGTCAATGTCCATTCTTGATACAGAATTATAGACACCAGGTATTATTAAACTTATTATTTAAAATGCGAAGTTAAATGCGCCACATTGTTATACGATATACAGTAATGTAAATGAGTGAAATAAGATTGAAACTGACAAAACTACTCAGTACGGAGTACACAAATATTAATTATTTCAGTAATTTCGTAAAAGACGGTCACTAACGAGTCACACTACACTCATGAATAACGAGTAACGACTAAATATTTATTCAATATTTAATTAGTCATTACCACACTGGGATTGGTGTACTGGACACACTGATAGTTTCCCACATAGATGTCCGATACCCGAAATATTAATTTTATTTTTAGTCTTTACGACAATAACAATTATTACGATTGTTTACATAATACCATAGGGACAGGCATGGATTAACGTATAGGCAAAGTAGGCATTTTCCTAGAACGCCGAAATTTTAGGGGCGCTCGAGACGAGAAATAATATAGAATATTAGAATGACATATTTATGGATAACTTAGAAACTAACTACACACTCAAAAAAAAAAAAAAAGGCCAATATGTAATTGAAAAAATATTATAATATTATGAAATTACGTAGACATAATACTATTAATAAAATATATTAGTTATAAAAATACGTAATTCCCTTCCAATTATTTAAAAATAAATGAAAAGATGTGGGCTGTGGCCTGTGTAGATTTTGAGGCAGCAGTATGTTGTTTAACAGGATAGTGGTTATATAATGGTAATATCACATAATTATATATCGGTTGCTATTGGTTAATCGGGCATGTTTGCTGATTTGTATTATTATTTTTCGTAGATATAATATGTATAATGTTATATAATGTTTGTGTGTAGATTAGACCTCTGGGAAGAAGATAGATTAATTTAACAAGGGTTAAATTTGGTTTTTTTTTATTCATCGGATTTTAGTACGATTAGCCATTAGGTTAGGTTAAGATTTTGTATTGATTAATTATATCAATTCACCGTAGGTGGAATGAAGTAACTTTGATACTCTAGAGCTAAATCATACACTTACGTACAAACAGCACGGGATCAGCTATCTACCGCAGGTAGATTGCCTAACTGATAATATACAGCTGAGAATCAGAATTTTTATTCTGGGCACAACGGAAAAGTTAAGATAAGTTTTCAACACCATACATCGAATATAATATAACGAATTGAACAAAGTTTGAGTCGTATATATATAGAGTTGGTCCATTTAACGGCAACGATATGCACGTGATCGGTTTTTTTGTAATAAAAATATATTTATCATTAATACCGCTAGAAACATTTCAATACGCTTTCATTAAAAGTTTTTTTATATTGACTTGCCGATCACATTAAGCTATGCAATTTGAATACAAAATTATACATATCATCGTTCAGAGGCAAAATAAACAACCTATCACGGGCGAAGCTGTGACGGGTAGGCTATATGCCTATATGTAAATATAAAACTTATTTAAAAATAAAACAAAATTTATTAAACCACATTTCACACATTTTGAAATAATTCATGAAATATTTCACGAAATATTACATTTTTTTAAATTTCATGAAATTTTCAAACACTGTAAATAATAATAGATAAAATTTAGACAGCAGTCTCATATAATAAGTAGATACATAGTTTTTAGACAGTAGTTTCATTATAATGATACATCATTTTTAGACAGCAGTCTCATATGATAATACAAATTTACAAAATACAGTGATAATACAAATTTACAAAATACAGTGGTAATACAAATTTACAAAATACAGTGATAATTATTATAAACATAAGGGCCCGTTGTCCGGAATAAACATAAACAATTGGTCGACTCATAGGATAATTTAACTACACATTTACCGTATTATAGGGTCCGTAATAGTATAATACATCTATTATAAAATTGACCAAGTTAATCAAGGGACAAGTGGATTCTGCATACGCGTGAATGCATATTGACAAATAAGATTTCACCAATAAAGTAATACTGATTGCAGCCGGGACAGAAATATGAAGTTTTGACACTACAAAGTACAGGGCTGATTTATAAAAACAAAATAATTTAGTTAATTTCGGCGTACGCCAAGTACTCGCTCGGAAAACGGCGTACACCAACGGGCGCAAACGCGGGAGCGAAAAATACCGGACGGACGGGCGAACGAGCTCATAATAATATTGCAAACTTAAAGGGCAGGGCAGACGGTGGTGGTAGGGGAGAAGTCGAAAACTTGGTGGACATTACTCTACGTCTACAAAGGGTTGGCAGAAGCAAACCCTGCGTGCCACGTTCACCAACGACCTCCAAACGAACCGTTTGGTCCTCTTCCAGGCGGACCTCCTACGCGGACCAACAGACCGTGATGTTGCCGGGTATTCCGGGACTTCGGAATATAATGTAGGAATCGGTAGGACAGCCGCGTCAATCAACGAGGTTTCCCCGAGTGTGTCCGTATTCGGTGCCACGCAAAAAGGCCCAGCAGGCTTCGACGATGGTCCTCCAATCATAGGCACGTCCTCCAGGCATACGGGTGAGTCAATACTCAATTCCGGTGACGACCGGGTACTCTCCTCTGCAGCGTTTCCGCGGTGAAGTAGCGGTGACTCGACCGTGACCTTAAGGTTCACCACTGGCAAATCATAAACGTCAGCTACTGCAGTTTCTTCGAGTGCGTCCGTATTCGACTTCAAGTGAAAAGGTGCAGCGGGCTTCGACGATGGTCCTCCAATCATAAGCACATTTTTCTCCAGATATACCGGTGAGTCAATACTCAATTCCGGCGACGACCGCGGGTGCTCTCCTCTGCAGCGTTTCCGCGGTGAAGTAGCGGTGACTTGACCGCAGCTGTGACCTTTAGGTTCACTTCCAAATCCAGAACGTCGACTATAGATCGACCCTCGTTATTGGCATACATTTGTTGGAATTGTTTTGGAACTGTGGCGTAAATATTTATATTTTAGGACGTGATAAACGGCAGAAAAACAGAAAAATAACAGAAAAATATGAACAGAGATAAACGTACCTACGATGACGGGTTTCAAAAAACTATTTGTTTACTGCAATAAATATACAGCTATGGTATAGTAGTGTTCTTTTGTGGCCATCATAGTTACCAGCATAGTTACCTTGAAGCCAGCTAATAAATAAGTTTCTTTTTTTTTAATTATTTTATTATAAGATTTTATTATATTTCATATATTTATTTATTTATTTATATCGGGAATGTTTGTTGATTTGAGTTATTATTTTTTATGTTCCAATTTTGTGACTATACTATTTAATATTTTACCAATTTTTATTTACAGAGTTGTTCCAAATAGGTACCTTCCTGAGTATCGCCGCGTGTAGCCCAATTTTTATTTTTTTTTATCGGAGGGGAAGGAGAAGAGAATCTATGATAGTCTATGAGCGTTAGGGTGCGTTTCCGAGAATCGCTGTAACTCTTGCACATGTCAACACGTCACATTTTCGTGTAAATTAAAATATAATTCACTTGGATAGTTGGATTTTACAGTTTTAATTGTATTATGCCTCATTCGTTTTAAACAACCATTAAGGGGCCTGCTCGTGTGTCTTTAATAAGGTGGCAGCAGTGGCGGTAACTGGTAAGATTCTTTTGTCTTGGCGGTGGCTGTAAAATTCTTTTGCCTTTGCAGTGGCGGCGGTAAAATTGTGTCCGCCACCGCTGCAGTGTGTGTCCGTGTACTGTGTATAGGGACCTATAAGGGGCAATATTTAGGCAATATGCAATTTTGTTGCCGCCGC